ATGAAAAACTAAAACCTGTAAGACAGTAATTAAGGAGTTGTTGGAGGGTGTATTTCATTGATGGAAGCTAGGCCCTAACAGGTACCTCCCAGCGTTTCAAGGCTAAAAACCTGACCTACCTCTTTAGTGGACTCAAGAACACGTAAACAATCTGTTAAATTTGTTTTTTTGGGCCAACCTCGGGCCGCAATAACACATACAATCGGTTTTATCAAACCTATATCACACATTTTATACCATCCTGCAAACCACTGGGCGACATTATCATCCCATTGGAGTCAGTTTCTGTCTTGGCCTGGTGAATAGAAAGTTTCAGTCACCTCCTGAGAAACATATCTGTCATCTGTAGCTGCCTACATGCTTCCCACTTCTTCCACCAGCTAGTATGCTTACTTTCTCTGTTGTTTGGTGCTGCGGCACGGCAGTGTGATCTATCGGGGCCATTTTTCCTCAGGAAAACAGCTGCCTGGATTCAATTTTCAGTTCCAATTCAATTTTATTTGCTACAGCGCCAATTTCATTAACCAGGAAGTTATTCTCAGGACACTTTTTTAAATAGAGCAGGTCATAGACCGAAACTCCTTTTAACAATTACAGAGACCCAACAGTACCACCATGAGCAAGCACTTGGCGACCGGGGCAAGGAAAAAACTGCCTGTTAAAGGACAGACCCTTGCCTCTAGGTGGGGTCGTCCTGTCTCGACCAGTGGGGGTGGAGGAGAGAGACGCGAGAGAGAGAGGGGTTTGAGAGAGAGAGACGAGAACAGAGGGGGAGACAGACAGACAGACAGACAAGACAGGACGCAACAAACTACACCCTACACCAATACACTAATGAACAACTGATGCTGTGGGGAGTGCGGCTGAACTCTGAGACTGAACTGAAACAACGACAGAGGCTGAAAATGAAGCTGTGAATTCTCTGTGGCTCCTTCCCTGCAAACAACCCTTTTCACATTACGCATAGTTAATTGATTGAGTGTTAATATAAAAAATATTCATAATCGGAACTCTAAAAATAGGGTTTCACATTCAGGGAATTAATATATGTAGTCAGTGAATTTATGATTCATACAGGCATCAGTGTTCTGTATTTCTAAAAGCATTTTTTGGATTTTGGTTTATGAGAAAACACTATTTTTCGTTGTGGCTGCAAAATCAAACAGTCTGTGTTTCTGTCAGAGAAGAGAATATCTCTAAGTATCAAAACATCAGCAGTCTTTATGTCAGTAATGAGAGTCTCTTGTTTGCTCTAAAGTCAACACTGAACTTTGGTAGCGCCATCCAGCTATGTATAAATGCTGCACACATTGACCTAATTACCATAATTACCCATACACACCACCCACTGTGACTGATTTCAGCTCAAGTGCTCGAGCTCTCCGGGTACTTGAGCAGAAGGGGGTCTGTGTGATTGGAGTGAGTGGAATTAAGTTGACCTTAAAGTTTTGGAACAACACTGGAGTAAATCTAAGTCTAAGTACAATTAAATTTCATTACATTTAAAAAGGAGAAGCTTCTAAACTTTAGTTCTGTGTCTGCCTGTCATATTCAGTACACAATTTATACTCATTTACATTTGGAAATAGTTTAACTCACAGAGAGTTACTAGAAACCTGTTCCCTTTAATGTTTTACCATAAATGCTGCTCTCATCAACCCGGTTTTCAGCAACACACAGTTCTGTATTCAGCAAAAGCATTTAGATGCTAAAGAGATTTCCCACAGGAATTGGTGGACGGCAAATTGGAGCTAATAAGAGAGTGAATATTGAACATTATCAGGCCGCCACAAACACAGAATGAGTGATCATGTTGCTCTGTGTCTGCTGGATGTTGTGCTAATACATTTGCCATAATTACTCAATATTGCATATTCAGCTTGTTTTGCTGAACTCGACTGTCTGAGTGACGGTACAACCCATGCACCACAATACTTCTACTGTAAGTTACAAAACTGTAATTGTGTCAGTTACTGCACTGATTCATTCCTCGTGTAACTTCAGTGAACAAACCCTTCAGTCTCCGGGATGGTTTTCAAAGTCCAGAGCGCCTCCAGCTGCAATACTGAGCAAACAATTCCATCTGAAACGCCAACTCCTTCAAGTGCACTGTGATGCTTCTGGGCCGAGCAGAGGAGCAGAGGGCACAGTGGCACATTAAGACACAAGTCAACAGCAACAGTAAATGATGATGTTACTTTGCCTTGGCAGCGGCGGCTCCGAGGAGAGGGCTGGTGGCTTTGTTGTAGAAAGCAGCTCGGCGGTAATAGGCTTGGGATGTTGACGGGAAATTAGTTTTGGGAGCTCAGGAGGAAGGAGAGAAGTGGAGAAGTGGCAGATAGCTCGCTGCCAACGTGTTTTCTACCGCATGCATACACACACACACTCTACCAACCTCCCGCAATTTGCCTGTTTGTATATTCCACTGCTGTCCTCTGTGTTCTGAGCCCCTTTTTACCGTCATGTTACATTTGCTAATCACCACCTAGTCACCACCTGTCAGGTCTCTCCATTGTAATCTTAATTCTTAATACTGATTTGTTTACAAATCTTCTCCTGCTCGTGATTAGGATAATGTCTTTTATTTGTTTTGGAAATAAATGAAATTACAGTAAAAATGTGTTTATTGGATGAATTGAGGATGAACGCCTCACAGCACTGGATGCTGATTTCTGTCAGCAGCAGCTGCTCGGATTCAGAAGAGGTAAACCTGCTGACTGGAGGCTTTTGCTGCAAAACCTGACCTGATTGGACAATTTTCAGTAATTCTATAGTGGAGACAGTGAATCAGGATCTGCTGGGGCTTGTTTTTTGGAGTTAGCCTGAAGCCCTACATGTATACTTTTTTGATAACCCTTAATTTAACAGAATTGAATTGAATTCCTGGTGTTTTTCCAGGCAGAATCAAACTTGAGCAATGTATTGATTAGATATGATTAGATGATCATCATATATATGACTAAACAACTAAACTTCCTTCTCTCCCCTCTCATCTAATGTTTCTCTGGCTCATTTTTCTTCCTCACACTCATCTGTGTCCCAGTTTGCTACCATTGAGACCATCGTAACCTCTGTGTCAGACGAGTTCCCCAAATACTTGAGGAAACACAAACCGCTCTTCACCCTGGTCTGCTGTGCCTGCTTCTTCGTCCTGGGATTTCCCATGATCACAGAGGTACGACATGGACACAAAAAAACAGACATCTATCTATCACTGATGCCACAAAGCAGGAACGCTCGGGCATTCTCCCCACGCCCTGTGACTCTTTTTTTGAATAAGCCGACAGTTTTCTGCATGTAAAGTGAAGTCGCGGCCTTCAGAGGACAGGCTCAGTGAGTGGAACAAGAGAAGCTGAGTCTTATTAAAATCCCCCCAGACAGCCTCAGAGGGCAAAATACAGCCGAAAGTAGGATTTATACATTTCATTTCTTATGATCCGGTACAAGTCGGTGTGAAAAGTTAAGGCCATTTACAAGTCAGAAGTCACAATGTGAGGGAAGAGGGCAGGGTAAGACAAAGCCTTGGTATTTGTATATAATTTGTTCGTATGTGTGTGTTTGTGACAGAGTGGGATGTTCATGCTGCAGCTGGTGGATACATTCGCAGCCTCCTACTCTTTGGTCATCATTGCTATCTGCGAGCTGGTGGGGATTTCCTACCTGTACGGTGAGTAAGGCTGATCCTGTTTTATCTCATGCTCTTTGACCAGTGAGAATGAACGTCTGAAGCCCTGCTAGTGGCCACTACAGGCCGTAATGTTAGTTCCATCCCACAATATTAAAAAGAACAAACAACACAGTGACAGTTTTGTTCTTGTAGGAGTCCTGAAGGTGACATTAGAGGGAAGGGTTTTTATTTACCTCTGGTCACAGTGTCCTGGAGTACACCTGTCCATCACTGCAGCAAATGCAAAGATAAACCACTGGAGGTCAGCAAATCAGAATCAGAATTTTGTTGCTGCAGATGGGAAGAAACTGTTTTTATGGCGAGACGTATTAGTCCTGATGGAAAAGCTTATCAGGGGGTGTTAAATTACCACTTATTTCTCTGAGGAATGTACTCAGTAAATTACTTTGTGATCTTTCCTTTTAGTTCATGGGATGTATTGTGTGCAAACCTTTCATCCCAAAAGAAATTTGGTTTGCAACTGAGCTTAAATTTATATAAAATATAAAACAATTACACAGATTTTAAGAAATTTACATAAATAAATAAACAAAGAATTTGTAATCTAGGTTCATCCTGCAGAAAGCCTAGATGTATTCAGTAAATTGCATAATAATCTGCCATTCAATGTAGATTCTTTTGTAGATACGCACAGTTTGTGACTCAGACTCTCTGTTAAAAATATGTAGTATGTGTAAGCCCAAAACTGAGATACCCCAGTGAGACTAATTTTCTCAGACTTGACATTCATCCTCCAGAGCCACAGAAGATATTATAGCAATGTTTTCACAGACTCCCTATGAGTTGTGGCCCTTTTTTTGCTAAACCTAAAATATTATAATCAGTCTGGGTTTTTGTTGAGAGTTTTAGTGTCCCTTAAGGATTTGAATCCTGTTTCATCTATTTGAAACACTGAATTTTTGTGTTTTAGGGTTTAAAAAGGGTCAAATCTAATGATCTTTCTTTCAAGCTCATTAAATCAGCAGCTGTAGCTTTGATACAAAAACATTTGAAACACCTAAACTGTTCAGAGAGAACTGTCAGAAAGGTTTTGTTATCCTGTCTTTGTTTATGTGTAAAAGGGGCTGATCATCTATTGGTCCTTCATGTTGGACAATAGCTCTCGCCCCCCTTTCTCTGTATGTTCCAGCCATGACCACTAGGTGTCTCTGTTGTAATGTATAAGTCACACACACAGGCAGAGAGCTCAGGTGTGTGTCAGGAGGCTGTTACCAAAGAGCAAAGCTAACGGCTCTCCTCCAGTTTTTCGGGGCATCAGTACAGGTGACATATTGAAATGATTGTGTGACTCTGCCTCTTCATGTCACTCACTGTTATCCGTCAATAAAGGCAGAGGAATGAAGCCATCTGCTCCCCCGATTTCTCTCAAGGACGACAGAAACTGATACTCTCTCTCTCTTCTCTCTCTC